TCCCAATTTGCATGAGACTTCGGGCAGATAAGCTTTTCTTTTGATGTAGCTAAATGAGTTTTCTCATTGCTGTATCTACCTCTAAATGCCAGTACAGATGCAAAGCACCGATTATCAATGGTTTATTGTAGGTACATGATATGTATGCCCGAGGAACAATAGCAAAATAGCTGGGGAATATTTGCTGCCGTGAAAAAAAAAATCACCATTCATTAGTGCTGTTTGTATTTTTAGGATAAAACAGATTGGAATAATCTTCTGGAAAGAGTAAAACAGGCACAAAAGCTTTCTTTACCTGCTCTCCTACCTCTTCATTCCTACTCTGCTACCCTACTCCTAGGACATTAATACAGCTAATCCTGCAGCCCCTGCTGGGCTTGGTCTGGGATGACATTTACCGAGTGCACTGAGTGGAAGTCTCATGGAAAACAGTTTCTGAAATGGTCTGTCGTTGTGCTTTTAAGATGAGCTGTTCAGGTATCTTTTACAAATGCTTCCCCAGTGTCACCTGACTTCACTGTCACTGCCTGCAGAGTGACAGAAAGGATCTGTGTTTGAGAGGAAACATCTTGCACTTCCAGCTTGAATGTGACATGATCCTCTGTGATGGCTTTGATGGGATTTTCCTTTCTATCACTTAGAATTCCATCAGGAAAGTCCTTCAAGCCAGTTTTACACTCAGCAGACATTTTGAGAGAGGCTGGCAATCAGGTGTTCAGTTACAATTACTCTATAAAATGAAATTATCAAGAAATTATTAAATTCTTGGTCACAAGTCTCCTAACTACTATGATGCAGCCCTTGGACCACCTTGGAAAAAGGAGAATTTGGATGTTTTTTGGATGTTTTGCTGATCCATTTGTCATGACCTTGGCTGGGGCTCACAGACCATGCATAATACGTAATTTGGTCAGCACTAATGTACTGACAAGCTCAGAGGGGTTCTGCACACTCCTGGGTACAGGCATAGCCATGGATTTCTGCAAGATTTGCACTTTGATTTTAAGGCAAAACGTTGCCACTGAGAAGCTGGATTGTGGAACTTGCTAGCTCTGGCAGAGTTCATTCAAAATACACAGGGGGTGTGCTGGGGTGGGGTGCTTCACTTCCTGCTGTCAGGGAATTTATTTTCAGCTGGGAAAGATTTATTAATTGTGGTGGCTTGTTGTAGAAGGGAGGGGATTGAGCCAGAAGAGATCTAGTGCTGAAGGTATTTTTCTCTTGGATGACTTTTGTGGGGTTTAATGCTTTGCTGTATCTGGATGTGTTTGGAATGTCTTGAGTTCATTGAGCTGCAGAGTTGCCAGATACTCAGCACAGAAAATGGCCTTTTCCCTTTCAGCCTGCTTCCTGATGGTCCCTCAGAGGATGCAAAGGCCCCTGGCTCCCAGATTTCAGAAATACCCAAAGCTAAAGTCACCTGCTGAGGCTGAGGGCATCTGCCACGCTGTGGGGCTGCCATGCCCTGGCTCAGCACAGCCTGTGGGGTGTGGAGCAGTGGCAGGTCCCACCCGGGGGACACTGCTGCTGTGGCCACTCCTGAGCAGTCCCACACTGAGGTGGCCTCAGAGCTCAGCAGCTTCTTCCACCCTTCTCCTCCTTCCTCACACTGAAAATTCTTTCCCTGCTCCTCCCTGGAGGTTCCAGTGGTGCTCAGTCCTTCAGCCTCAAGGTCTGAGCAGCCCCTGCAGATGTTTCCTGGGCTTGCAGAGGGGGAACTGCTCTGCAGGTGACCCTCCACCCTTCTCTCCCCAGTGGCTGGGCTGACTTTGGCTCTCCAGCTTTGGTATTTAAAAGACTTTCAGATGTGTGTGGTCCCTATAAAAATAAATCTCCAAAGGAGACAAATGTTATGTGGTGAAAGTCTGCCAAGTCCCCATTGCTTATTAGCTCGTAGTATTCTGTAGGAGGAACTTAGCTCCATAGCCTGATGTAGGGTAACTCTTTGATGAACTCTCACTCTTTTGAAGGTTCAGATTTAAAGGATGTTGCTCTATAGGGTCAAGACTGAGCCATTGACTTGATGGGATTTCAGCTGTGAGTGCCTTGACACACTTGTCAGACCCCTGCAATAACAACTTGTGGTTTCAGAGAGTTTTGGTGTTTAAGTTACATTGAGCAGAGCTCTGACAGCAGTGGTCAGGGATGACAATTTCCAAATTGTCCAGAACCACAGAGGTTAAAGTAAGAAATGTAACTAAACACGTGCTTCTAAATAGACTGACTTGGAGATGTTGATCCAAGGCTTCCTTCTAACCCAGTGATCCCTTGATTTTTCTGTGATCCTGTGGTACAGCCAGACCTTGGCTGCTTATCACCCCAACTTTTATCTTCTTCAGAAAATGTGCTGTGCTATCAGAGGCAATTTTTACAGAAGTCAGGAAGTTGCATAGCAAAGCAACAGGGCACTGACATAGAGTATCTGAGACTGCAGCTCCTAGTGATGCTAGGAACTGGATTTTCTAGGTGTATGTGAAGAAATTAGCACACAGCATTCACACAACCCCTGTCACCTGCAGTCTGTCCCTTTCCAAAGTGTCACAGTTGCTCAGCAATGTCAACAAACATGTATTTATACGGATTTATTTACACAGGAAAAAGTCTAAATATTACCTTCCTGGAGGAAAGATGATTCACCTGATTTAAAGTAGATAATTTAATCTGAAGAGCTAAATTTATCTTTCCTTTGCAGCCAGATGAAATTATTGATGGGAAGTGGAATTTCCTTACCAATTCTCAATCCCTCACACTGCCTAAAATTGTTTAGACTATGATGTCTCAGAGGGTGAGTCTCTTCTGATATAAATATGTTTTGACTGGCATTAACTGCTTAAGGCCAAGGAAGAAGCTCTGAGGAAGAACTGAAGTCAGGAGCAGACCCTTGCTTTCCTCAAGGAGGTGCTGCTTATTTCTGTGCTGATGTCTGTGGTCTGAGGTGATTCTGTTCTCACTTGGAGAGAAGCAAATATGGTGTGATTTCACTGAGGACATTTGAAATCAGTCTGGCTCCAGGGCTCTTCACCTCTGGTGGTGCTCTGGCTTGTGAGATCCTCCTGATCTTGTGGAGGATTAAAGGAGGACACACTGGAGGTGTTTTGGGCATGGTTTGGGAGGAACTCAAGGTTTCACCCAAGAGGAACCTTACCATGATTTGCTGTAGAAACCTTATCCTTCAGCCAGGGACAAATTCCAGTTCTCTTGTTGGAGTAATTCTGTTAAAGTGCCTTGCAAAGGAAGTGCCTGTGCTTCAGAAAGCTCCTGTCCCTGTCCTGAGCAGACACAGACACGCTCCTCTCACAGCAGCTCTGGGCTGGGATGCAGAAAGAAGAGCCATGTGTTAATGATGCTTGACACCCTTTGTTGTCCTCAAAACTTCCCATACAAGTCAAATTTGGGAGACTGACACATTGTGGTACAATTCTACCTGTGTCTACATCATCCTGCCTGGTTACATTGGTGTAGTACCTGGATCCTGAGCCATCATCCCAAAAATTTCCTCTTCTCTGTCAAAGCTCTTGTGCCACTGAAGGCTGAATGAAGACTCTCCTTTTCTCTATTCTTGCTGCTGCTGTACTTGGCACATGCTGAATGATTTATATTTTTGGCAAAATTTTAAAGCACTGGCAGATTTATATTTACAGAAGTGTTGTGTTAAAGGAAAGAATTGTTAATTCTGGACAGATTAAGCTCCTAGTGATGAACAGCCAGGAATTATCTAATTAAGAATATAGGACCAAATGGGAAGGACAAGGTTTGAAGTCCCACATAACCCCTTGCAACTGCATCCAGAGACCCACTGAAAGATACCCTGGAGAGGACAGACCCTGTTCTTCCTCTCCAGGGCTAATTCCTGAGGGGGGAGAGCAGCTCTGTCTCCTCTGCAGTGATCTGACCACGCACACAAGGGAGCAGCCAAAAGCTCCAGCAGAGGATGCGTGGGAGCCTTTGAATAAAAAGCTAGTTTCAGGGAATAAGAAACTTTTTACAAATGTCATGTGTGAAAGTTGCTGGCAATCAGAGACCAACTCTCAGTGGGTTTGTGTCAGTGTTGCCTGGACTATCATGCACAGGGCAGACAAAGCTGGAATAAATACTAACTCCTTCTGTTTAAATGTGATACTGCTGTGATGTGCCAAAATGACAACATCTGATGTTTTCACTCGAAACAGACGCAGTGTTGTTAGGAAAGATTTCCTTCTACAGATGGGAAAACTCTCCCATTTCCAAATCCCATTATTTTCTAACGTAAAGATGAGGCCAGTATCAGTGGGGTTAGGAGCAGGGTTAGTGGTGCTGCAGCATAGAAATCTCCACCCAGAAAGCAGGTGAAAGATTTTGCTGTCAAAGTGAAAGAGCTCAGTACAATTTTTTAACAGCTGGCTCCTCCTGTAATGGAATCAGAAGATAAACTCCTCTTACTGTGGGATATGAGCAATGCTGGATCTGCAGGGTTTGGCTTGTGCTGGATGACTCCATCCCAAAGCCCCTGGGGATTTGAATGAACTGGGATTCAGCGCTCTGGCTTTGGCTTGTGTCCAATGTTAACAGAGAAAAAATATTCAGGGGCACCTCATGCAGAACCACCAAGTGAATTCTCCCTTTCTGCTTGCCAGTGTAAACCACAGATGCTGTGTAAAACCAGCACAGGAGCAGGACTGTGCCCAGTTCCACTGGTCAGAGATTTTTTCAGTTGCCTTCCTAATACCCAGGAGTCTTGTGCCAGCTCTGTGCCACACTGTGGGATTGTGACTGCGACCCCCCTGTAGAATTGGGGCAATTATCCAGTGTTTTTTTCCTAATTCTGTATTTTTCATTTGGATCAGACGATTTCTTGGTACAACTGGATTCAAGGGAAAATTTGCATCCTTCCAAACACCACCCCCAAACCTGCCCCTCTAACCTTTTGTTTACTGATTTGTTGACATATCCAGAGCTGGAATCAGCCCCCTGTTTCCCCCTCAAACACAGCCTGTGAGCAGGCAGCTGATGGTGAGAGTGAAAATCACTGAGGCAAAGTTACCGTGAAGGGATGGAACAAGGCACTAGGACCTAGGAGGCGTCTCATCCACCCTGGCAGGAATTTCTTGCTTGGAGCTCAGACAACAAAGGCAGAGTGAGCCTGGTTTTCTTTCTCTGAGCATCTCCACCCTGCACGCTGAAAACCGGTGAGTAGAGCTTTCCTGAATGACTTGCATGCAGAAAAGTAACAGGAGGAATCTTTTCTTGGTGCCTTACAGCATCTGCAGTTCATTTTAAAATCAAAACCCCTGCATCCTCTGATTCATTCCCGAAGTTGCTTGGATGTTTCATTGTTCAGTGCATGACACCAGACTGAATCTACCCCAGCTGGCATCGTGGGGGGAACGTTCCCAACTTGGGGTTTCTGTGTGGAATGCCTGCATTGTCATCTGCCTCGCTGCAGCCTGGGGACAATGATTTTTTCTTGCATGGGTCACGCTGACATTGTAAAATACAGGGAAGGAGCTTCATTCTGCCGAGTGTAAAGGGCGGGGATGCGATAGCAACAGCTTTTCCTGGATTTATACCTGGCTGCCAAGTGCTGTAAATCCCCTTTCAGCCCTGTGCTAACATGAGAACCACATACATGAGGTGCATGTGCCTGGTGGAGCCGGGGGAGTGGAAGGGTCTCGACTGCAGAGTTGGGGGGGTTCCTTCTCCTTTTGTGTTGGGGTTTGGTGCAGGGGAAAGGTTGTTCTCGAGCATAAACTAGAGACAGTGCAAAATTCCTGCTCGCTGGGTGTCAGCTCCAGCCTCGGCTTTTCTGTGCTGGAAGCCCCCGCGCTCAGAACAATGAAAGGTGAGGAGCAGGGGCGGCGTGTCCCTGGGGCACGGGCACTTCCAGCTATTAAATCACTTAGGGCTGGAAGCGGGGGGTGGAAATAGCCCCTTTATTTTCTCCTCCTCATTAAACGGGAGCAAAAATGCAATTCAGAGGAGGCTCGGGCTGAAAAGAGCTTACCGAAGCTGCGTTTCAATGACAGATTTTTCTTTGCAGTCATTTCTTCTTAGAGATGTAGGCTGGTCCTGGGAATTGATTGATGGGCTAGGAGGGGGCTGCGGATAGGGGGAAGGGTGGGCTGGATCTCATTGCTAACCCTTATTGAACAGGCTGTCACAAAGAAACTGCTTATTCCCCTGTGACCATTCTTTCATAAATGCCAGTTTATTCTAATGTTAAACATTCAGATGCTCTGGGTCCTTCCGTGATTCGACAGATTGAAGGGCTGACTTACTGGGATCTCCTTGTTTTCTGTTGCCAAAGGAAACCTCATAGGGCTCAGAGGTTTAATTCATTGCCAACTGGTGTTTGGATGAGGTTTTTTGGGGGCTGAGTTGTGATTGCCATGCATGCCTTTGGCCCCAAGTCCCAATTTGCTGCACTTTGAAAACTCCCAGGTGCAGGAGCAGGCAGCTCTCTAGAAACGTGTTCCCTGCCCCCAGTAGTTGGATCCCTTTCAAAATGCGAGGACCCCTCCTACTCTCGGTCCCCAGAATCGATACAAATCTGGGTCAGGGGAGGGGGCGCTTCCCAAATGCATCCGTCCTGCTCCAGACACAGCCTTAGCGTCGTTCTGCTCTCCGGATTGTGGCTCTGCTGGGCTCTAACCCATCCCTTTGCCCCCCTTCTCTCCCCATCTCCTTCCTGCCCAGCTTCAGATCTTTAGGGTTCACCAAACTATGGAACTTGATTTTGGACACTTTGACGAAAGAGACAAGGCGTCCAGAAACATGCGAGGCACACGGATGAACGGCTTGCCCAGCCCCACTCACAGCGCTCACTGTAGCTTCTACAGAACCCGGACCTTACAGGCGCTGAGCAACGAGAAGAAAGCCAAGAAGGTTCGTTTCTATCGCAACGGGGACCGCTACTTCAAGGGGATTGTATACGCCGTGTCCTCCGACCGCTTCCGAAGTTTTGACGCCCTCCTGGCGGACCTGACCCGGTCCCTGTCCGACAACATTAACCTGCCTCAGGGAGTGCGCTACATTTACACCATCGACGGCTCGCGGAAGATCGGCAGCATGGACGAGCTGGAGGAAGGTGAGGAGAGGGATGGGCAGGAGGGGGCTGCACCGCTCGGTGCCCCCAGGGTCCCCTTGCCCCGGCTCTGGGGGTGCCGAGCCCCGCTGTGCCCCGCCGGGAGGGTGGCGGGGCGGCTGCCGCGCCCGCCGGGTCCCCGCGCGGTGCGGGCGTGGGGCCGGAGGGCTGTGTCCGCTCCCGGCTGTGTCCGTCTGTCCGGGTGTGTCCGCTCCTGGCTGTGTCCGCTCCTGGCTGTGTCCGCTCCTGGCTGTGTCCGTGTGTCCGGCTGTGTCCGCTCCTGGCTGTGTCCGTCTGTCCGGCTGTGTCCCTGTGTCCGCTCCTGGCTGTGTCCGTGTGTCCGGCTGTGTCCGTGTGTCCGGCTGTGTCTGTGTGTCCGCTCCTGGCTGTGTCCGTCTGTCCGGCTGTGTCCCTGTGTCCGCTCCTGGCTGTGTCCGTGTGTCCGGCTGTGTCCGTCTGTCCGGCTTTGTCCGCTCCTGGCTGTGTCCGTCTGTCCGGCTGTGTCCGTCTGTCCGGCTGTGTCCGCTCCCGGCTGTGTCCGCTCCCGGCTGTGTCCGTCTGTCCGGCTGTGTCCGCTCCTGGCTGTGTCCGTCTGTCCGGCTGTGTCCGTCTGTCCGGCTGTGTCCCTGTGTCCGCTCCTGGCTGTGTCCGTCTGTCCGGCTGTGTCCGTGTGTCCGCTCCCGGCTGTGTCCGTCTGTCCGGCTGTGTCCGTCTGTCCGGCTGTGTCCCTGTGTCCGCTCCCGGCTGTGTCCGTCTGTCCGGCTGTGTCCGTCTGTCCGGCTGTGTCCGCTCCTGGCTGTGTCCGCTCCTGGCTGTGTCCATCTGTCCGGCTGTGTCCCTGTGTCCGCTCCTGGCTGTGTCCGTGTGTCCAGCTGCGTTTCTGTGTCCAGCTCCCGGCCGTGTCCGTGTGTCCACTCCCGGCCGTGTCCGTGTGTCCAGCTCGTGGCCGTGTCCGTGTGTCCGCTCCCAGCCGTGTCCGTGTGTCCGCTCCCGGCCCTGGCCGTGCGTCAGGGTGTCCCCCGGCTGTCCGGGCCGGGTTGAGCCCGGCCGGGTTTCCCAGCGCGGTGGGTGGGGATGAATGGGACGGGAGCAGGGCTTGAGGCACCCGTGTAGCGAGTGTGTGGCGGGCGTGGGAAGCGTGTGTGCGCTCTGGGTGTGAATTTTGGGGTACGGTGCACGCCATGTGTGTGCAGAGGGGTGTGGTCAGGGCCGGGCGGGCACCTAGGGGTGCGGAGAAGGGTGCTGGGGTGCGATGGAGGGTGGGGTGCTGGGGGGTCTCCGTTTGGGGAGCGTGTGCAGGGATGCGTTGGGAATTCACACAGCCTGATTAGAGACGGGATTTAATGCGCAAGGCGTGTGAATAGAGAAGGGCGTTTTGGACAGGTTGCACTCGGTGAAATTTGGGGTTTATGCGTGCGTCGGTGTGGAGGGTGGGGTGAGGAGGGTTGATGACAGAGAGCTGCGGGGTTTCTGCGCGCTGGGGCTGGTGCTCAGGAGGTGTGGCGGTGTGCTGGGCTGGCTGTACGGGGTCTGGGGGTGTCGCAGAGCGGGCACGGGCAGCTCCTGCGCTGCTCACGAAGGGCTGGGGGACAGCAGCGCCTCGGGGGCTCCGGGGTCTGGGGGTGCAGCGTGTCCCCGTGTCCCCAGGGGGTGTGGCTGCGCCCCTCCGTGTCACTGCGGGGTGAGGGACGAGCCAAACATCCCTGCTGCTGCTGGGAAGGGATGCCCTGCGGGAAGGTTTGCTCCCGGGGAGCTCCGCTGCCAGCCGTGCCCGAGCCCGGGGCGCTGCCCCTGCTCGCTGCCTTTGCCGGCAGTGCCAGCACAGCCCCGGGATGGAGTTGCTGCCATGGCCAGTCCTGCCTCCTTGCCCGAGGCAGCAGAGCCGGAGTGCGGTGCAAAAAGAGCACCCACAGCCACGCTGCTTTTCTCTTCCCCCAGCAATTCATTCTTTGTTCCGACCTGGAATGTCCTGTTGCAGGAGGGGGGGGTGCTCTTCCCTTTTCCTTGGTGTTTTTCTCCAAGCAGACGTCCTGGCCAGTCCAGTTTGGTGACTACCAAAAATCCACGAGGCTTTTGCCTTTGGTGGAAGACAATGGGTGTGAGTACGTGAGGCACGAACTGCAGGGGCAGCCTCGGCTGAGAGTCATTGTGTGACCTTGACTAAAGCAGCTCTCCCTAGAATTCCTTCTCTGTCAGGCAGGATACTCATCTCCTCAAAATACTTTAAGGGGACAAGGACGTGGAATAAATCTTGTTTTCCATAGAGGAGTTTTCCTGGGAAGAATCTGCTGCCATTCAGAGCTGTGATTCTTCCTGGTAGAGTTATTCTCAGCCCAATTTCAGCTGTCGAATGGAGGTGTGGCCTCCCTTAATTTTAGAGATTCTGCCATGTTTCATTCTGGTCTCTTAATATGGCCACAGCCTTATCTCTAATGGCAGCTCTCAGTCCTGCTTGTCCTAGGTTTTTAAGCAAATCTTCAGAAATAACTCCAGGAGAAAATGATCAGGTGGGAGATCATTATTCCCTTTTTACACTCTTTCTCCTGTTAGACTCTTCCTGCTTCTGGTCAGTGAAGTTAAGAAAGCATTAGTTGTTACGCCTGCTTTAAATGGGTTTTACTGCAGGTAAGGAGGTACCTAGTTCATGAAAATACATTTTGCTGGTTAAGGTACAGACAGGAGATTCTGGCATTTGGGTTCTGGCTTTGTTCTGACAAAATGGCATCTGGAAACAACACTGAAGAGACACTAAAACCAGAATGGGATTGTCTGTGTGGCTGTGTCCTCAGTAGAGCATCAGCTAGGAAAATAATACCTGAGGAGAGTGAAGACAAAGGAATCCAGTTTTTGACCATGCCAGGGTAGGTCTGCGATTGATCCCATATTTCTAGGGGTGACCTACGCTTCTGTTGTAGAAAAGCAATTTACAGCACCGTGGTTATAACCAGCCCTTGTGGTGAACTCTGCCCTTAGCTTGGGTGTTTGCACAGGTGCAAACAGGTACCTGCATGAAACCCAGAATTTGGGAGTAATTCTGCTGTGGCACACACAACCAGGGCATGTCTCTTATAAATCTGCTTTCTGCTTGGAGACTGTGGGTAACCAAAGCAGTTCTTGTTGCTATAATGGGACTATTTTATCGTTGCAATTTCAATAAACAAGTAGAATCTAGGAAAAGTCATCAAAGAGCCCCTTCTCAGTGGTTTGATGGCAAAAACTTGTGAATTACTGACAATATTTCACATTCTAAGTGCTTGATTACTTCTGATTGAAAAATGTACTTACATAGTGTAGCCTGAGTGTAGTTCTGGAGGATAGAGAATGATATTGCACAGCACCAATATCCTAGAGACAGACATTTCAGGTGAACAAAAACCACATGGTGTGCTGCTAATTAAGTGGGGCCTGGAATCTTTTGTTCTCCAGACCCAGAGTTCTTCCCTGGCACTCAAGGTTGCTCCCATAATGAGAACAAGTGAAGTTTTTCATGCTCTTTTTTCCACATTCCTTCCATCTGTTGGGCTGAGCCTCTTGGTCCTTTCCTGTACTGCCCCCTAACATCTCACATTTTGGAAGCCCCCAGAGCTCTGTCATAAGGTGCCTTTTGCTGCCAGCTGAGTTCTCCCTCACTGCTCACAGGTTGCTTTTCCCATTCTTTTCCAGGGAGCTGTCTCATTCTCCCAGTGACCTTCTCACAAAATCCACCCATCTGATAATTTTTTCTTCCCCTTTTCAGTCCTAGCAGCCACCTTCCATCACTGTAGTCATTGTCTCAATCCTGACTTCCTCTTTTCAGCATTCAGCTTTAATATAAATAAATAATATTATTAATAATAATATAATAGTCATTAGCTTTAATATAAATAAATAATGCACCTGCTGATGTTGCAGAGGACTGCATTCCTCCTTAACCTCTGTGCTGGTTAAGTGCAGGGCAGCATCCTGCTCCAGCTCATCCTTCCACTTGTGTTCCACTGCCTTGGCTGGGTCAGGAGTGGATGTTGCCCAGGGTGCTGCTCTTCATCATGGCAGATGAATCTTTTGGAAAGGAACACCAGGTGGGCTTTATTCCCCTTCACACAGAATTGGTTCCAGTGATCAGGGCTTTGGGGAGTTGATTTATGTAGCTGCATTTACTGGTGAGTCACTTGTAACTGATAATTCTGTGCCTTGTGCTGTGATAAAACTTGCATATGAAAGATGCTAAAATAATCATGTGCCATCCTTTCCAGCCTTTCTCATGATGGTGGTAGAGCAGCTCACATTGCATCCAAATTTCAGCTAAAATTTAATTCTGGATGTGTGGTTTGGTCCTTGGTTAGTTTTGAGCCTCTTCTCGTCGACTTCATGTGACGAGTTGTCCCACCTCAGCTCTGATTATTTTTTGTCCTTGAATGGAGGACTGGGTAGAGGTGGAAGCTGATGTTGTGCATTGACTTCAGCAGAAAAGATGGCTTAAGAAATGCTGCTCTTGGCCACTTGTTCCAGTCCCCATTTGTTCTCTGTGGGACAAAAGGGGTTTTTTTAGCTCTCTCCACAGTTTTGCTACTTTCCCATATTCAGCTTCTTGACATAAAGACATGGAGAGTGAGGCACAACCTGGGAGTGAAGGCAAGGCACATCCAAAGGTGGATTTTATGCCTTGTCCTGGGCTGCTTGTTTGAAATTTGCCCTTGTTTCAAATCAAACTCAAGAAAAGCTGAGTAGAATTTGTTTTGCTTGGTGTGGTTTCATTGAAAATGTTCTTGGGCTGTGTGAGATATTCCACAAAACGATTCCAAGCTTTTTGTTTCCTGTCATGCCCTTGGGAATATTTTCCAAAATCTTGTCCAGGAGTATTTAGAGTAATCATAGGAGGGGCTCCACCCTGGAACTGTGCAGAGTCTGGTGTGTGCTGGGGCTGAGGGGTTTATAGGAAACATCCTGGGATCTCCACCCAGTGTGTGTGTTCCAGTTTGCCTGGAAAAGTGAAGTTCCTGTAGGTCCATACTGAAACCTTGGTAACCTGTGGAATTGTTTTCTGTTGCCGTGATTGCTCAGCTAATTACATCCTACATAACAAAATTTGCCCATGGGGCTCTGTTTTATTTGCTTGCTCATCCTGGCTGTCATGCTAGCACTGGTGTGGTCCAAAATTCTTTATGGGCATCATTGAAGGTGATTTCTCATCAGGCATTCTTCAGCAGAACAAGAGGTGCTTCTGTTCATGGAGGAGCCAAGGGAAGGGAGCTCTTCCAGGGTTCCTTTTGCCATGCTGGGGCAAGTTTTTTTAACTGGAGCAGGTCTTTTTAACTCATGAAGCAGCAGCAAGTTCAAGCATTTGAATCTCATGCCCTGCTCTAACACCATATGGAATGAGCTCTGCAAGGTGTTAAGTCCACTTAATTCCTGCTGCAGCCCTGGTAAATTCCACTAAACACAAAAGCTGGGCACAGTAGCTCATTCTCAACTTTGTAACTGCAGAGGCAACAGCCAAAATAATTGACTTCTGCCCACAGAGACTGTTCCTGGAATAACTGTTAACACTTAGACATTCAAAATGGCCTCAATCCAGCTTTCCTGATTTTTCTCAAAAGACTTCTGCCCGCAGTTCATTATCCTTGGAAAGTTGATGGTGCATGCTGAAGAAGGATAACTTTTCCTGAAAGCACAGCCTGTAATTTTTGGTATTGTCACAGGGAGCTGCTGTAAGAGGGTTGGAGGATTAGCAGTCATCTGGAGCTTAGGTTTTTCTAAGGAACCTTCTCCAAGGCAAACCTTATCTTTGCTGAGATCATCCCTTCTTTAGGAGCTGAATAATCTCCTTGTGCTTCCATCAAATCGGTAACACTGGGATGGATGTGTAATTCACTTGAAGCTGGGGTAATTCTGTGTGATACAAATGGCAAATATGATGGTCATGCCAGCAGGTCTGGGGTCTGCAGTCAGCCCAGCCATTGCTGAGGGCAGGCAGGAGCAGTGAGGAAATGCCTTGGGCTGGTTTGGTGGCACGATAGGAATTGTGACACGTCTGGAGCAGCCTGGCATGGTGACAACGCTCCCCCCCTGTGGGCTCTGGCTCTGCAGGGTAAAAAGGGCATTGTGCTCTCAGCTGGCCTGCACTAAACCAACACTGTCCTTGGCACCACAGGGGTTTTGTCAGGATGATGCTCCCCAGCCCCAGTGCAGGAGGGTTTCTCTTTGGGCCTCCCTTTTTGGGGTTTGTTTGAATTGATGATGTGGCTGTCCATTGTACCTTCTCATGGTTTGCAGTGGGGTTTCTGCACGTGTGCACAGCTGCTTGCTGGCTTGAGACATGTGCTCCTGAAAATATTTGCGCACAGATTTTTGTGCTTAGGGCTGGGGAGCAATGTTCTTCTTGGAGTCGTTCCTTTTGCTCATGACAAGATCTCACATCCTCTTCCCATTCCTTCTGTTATGCTGAGCACATCTTCTGCTATCACACTGTGCCTGTCAGTCACATTTCTGTGGCTGGCACAGTTGTGCACCTTGACTTCTCATTATAGGCTTAGCACAGGCAGATGTGGCACAGAAACCCACAGAGAATCCACTCCTCTCTCCATGGCAGCTCTATTCCCCATAAGATTTCTCCTCTTTATCATCTCCTGGCCACTTTGTGCAGTTAAAAGCTGCAAAGTTCACAGGTCTTCAGCCCATGCTTGCTCAATCCTCCTACCACCATGGTAAGGTTTGGGTAAAACTCCACTGTGGGAAGTGTAATACACTGTGGAAAGTATGTTCCTGGCTGGCAAGTGCATGTGCCTCACTGAGGAACTTGAATGATGATTTTGCTGCTATTTGAGGGTCATAAACTGAGTTAAGGAAGACATTAGTTGAAGTGGTTTTTAAATGAAGTTAAAGCTTCAGGTCACATCCTTAGGTCAGGAAGGAAGGAAAGAAAAGCTCCTCTTCCCTGGAGCTGTGCTGCTGTGACTGCAGGAATGATGCTGAGAAGAGCTGCTGCCCTGAGCTGCTGTTCTGGAGTGTCTCTCCAAGGAGATTCCTCTCCAGTTTTAGAATCGAGTACAGTATGGATTTTATTTGCTGGGGTCTGGGTTAAATGAGACAAAGGGAGAAAGGGCAGATTCCATTTTCCACTTGTGAGTGTGAGCACAGCTTGAGAGGATCGGCACAACTGCCTAAGATCCCATCTGTGGAGCAAACTCTACAAGGGTTCTGGTTCTGCCTTCATGCCACTGTTGCCTTTGGTGTACAGTGGTGTAAATACACAAACAGCTGTGGTGTGCAGTGAGGAGTTCAAAAGGACACAGCTGGAACCAAGAGTAATGGTACTGTACCACACAGATCAAGAATCTCTTCAGCTTACTCTAAAATATGCAACTTTTTAATAGAAAATATGCTCCAGCACCTCAGGTGTCTACAGAACACAGTGCAAATGTGTACTTGCTTTCACTGTGGAAATAATACACATGAAGGTCGAATGCAGATGAAAGTCAAGCCTTGCCACACTTCAGTGGCTGATAGTTTATTTCTGTTTTAGGTGGGGAAGCAGAGGTGGATGTGAGGTCAGGAGCTGGCACAGGGAAGCTGGGGTGACAGCAGCATTCAAATCACTTATTCTTAGTGCTGCGTTTAAACAGAGAAATCCCTTTTCTCAGAGGATAATGCACAGTTCTGCTGAGCACACTTAGGAGGGCTCTGCTGCCCAGGGATTATGGCTGGGGAGGGCTCAGCTTCTTAGGATGGTTAATTCCTGGGGGCATTCCAGACTCCTTGCTGCCCTTCTCTCAGTCACGAAACTGGAGAGAAGCCTGGGCCCATCTGCACCAGGTGTTACTTGGCTGGAGCAGATAAATAAACCACAACTTATCACTTATTAATCAGAAAGATTTGAAGTATTCAAAGCTCCTGGAAAAAGATATCCCCAGAGGGAATTTGGTATAACGTGTGGTACTCTAGGGGGTGTATTTGAGTTTCTATTGAGTCAGATTCACAAAATGTTGGGGATTAAGGAGCTCCAGCTATGGGCAGGGCTGCATGGTTGGTTTATTGAGGGATGTTGCTGTCAGCAAATAGAGATTTTTACTGTTTGTTCAGGCTAACAGAACCTGCTGGTGGGATTATCGTTAGTCTGGGATACACCAGTTGTCAAAATGTCCAACTGAGTGTTCATCACAAACCTCTCTTCTCTCTTCCTTTTTTGTATTCCATCTTTAGCAGGGGAAACAGAATATCTGCTTCCTGCTGATCAAGGATTTTGGTCATTTTTATACAACTGATGGGAGAAGAGCTGCAGTTGGTGATGTAAACACCACAAGTGGGCATCATGGTGGCAACCTCATGGCAAAAAATCATGGGTACAGAGGTGGGGTTAAAATAAGTAAGGATCCTACATCTTTTCTATGGCTGCTTGTGACATCACACCCTGGTCAGTAATAGGGACAGAAATACACAGAGTACTCTTATAAGCCTGTTAAAATCTGTTTGTTGTGCGTCTGTTGTGGTCTCACCATGGGTTCTGGTGCCTCCATCAGAAGTGCAGTTTAGTCAGCAGAAGGAGTTTTAGTATGAATTTTATCCTGGGCACGTTACCTGCCTGGACCATGTGAAAATCACTGCCACCAGTGGGGAAAAAACAGTGAGGTGTTTGGAAATCCATATTTTGCCAACTGGATGTCAAATCCTGTCCTAGAGATCCCTGGGTGGGAAGCCAGACTTGGCTGTGGGATAGGCTTTTCAAAGATGTCTGAGCCTTGGAGTTTGCAGTCAGGGACAGACAAGGAAGTGCAGCCAATCTGTTTTTTGTAAAGAAGGAATTTATTTTTTTTTTAAATTTGTCTTTCAAAATAGTTAAATCTGTATTTTGCTTTCAAATGTATTGTAGTACATGAAAAACTTAATTCTGTAAGACCAGACAAAGAAACCACCAGAAGAGACTAAAATCCTACAGGTCATGCCTTCAGTTCCTATTAAAATTTTATCTCATGGCGAGACGAAAGCTTCTTCCTCCAGCAGTGAGTGACTTTTTTTCAGTGCAGCCTGAGTCATTTCAGACCAGACAGCTACATTCCCTTAGGGATACTGGTTTACAGTCTCATTCTAGTAATAACTCTCCCAGCATCCATCAGATTTGCAGGCCAAAAAGAAGCTCCTACAAATCCTTTAAGGTGCTTTTAAAACCTTGGATAAATAGGATCCTGTAAATTACAGACAAAGCCTAAAACTAATTTTGGGTGGGATAGGGAAGGGCTTTTTGGGAATTACTAAAAAGTCCCCGTAACTCTTCTCTGCCATGTCTAAATTTGGATTTAAAGTATTTTTGGTTGGTATCAGCCGTGTAAATCAAGGAGTGGTATTTGGTGCAGTGTTTAATCTCAGCTGCCACTAGGTCTGCTCCCTAATAAAACACTGATGCTCCAACCGTGCATATTTGTTATGCCTGCTAGATTTATCTAGGCTACTTTTAGTGGAGACTGTTCAGGACAAGATTTTGCTTATTTTTCAGGCATGATGCAGAAGGCACTTTGTGGATGAATGCTGATGTGCTCTCAGCAGGGAATGACACACTGAAGTAGTACCTAGGTCTGTAAAGATAAAGGCAAAACTGGCAAATTTATAAAATAATCGAGGTGGTCAAATGAATTTGGTGTTCTGAAGGTTTTGGAAAGCTTAGCTGCATCTTCAAGTACCTAGATACCTTTATACCTCAACCTCTCTCAACCCCTGGTTCATGTGATTGTATTTGCTGCTGGCTGACTCGCTTACTTTGTGGAATACCAGCAATATTTAAAATAACCATAAATATAACATGAAAACAAGGCAGAATGTTTTAAGAACAAGCTGTCGTGGGAGTGCTAATGGAAACAATTATCAGTGGTTTGCACGATTTGTGGGGGAAGAGCACAGAGCTGGTGCTTACTACAGAATCTCCTTTCTTCCTCAAGGGGAGAGTTACGTCTGCTCGTCCGACAACTTCTTCAAGAAGGTGGAATACACCAAGAACGTCAACCCCAACTGGTCTGTCAACGTGAAGACCTCTGCCAACCAGAAAGCACCTCAGTCCCTGGCCAGCAGCAACAGTGCCCAGGCCAAGGAGAACAAGGATTTCGTGCGCCCCAAGCTGGTGACCATCATCCGCAGCGGGGTCAAGCCCCGCAAGGCCGTGCGCGTGCTCCTCAACAAGAAGACTGCCCACTCCTTCGAGCAGGTCCTCACTGACATCACTGAAGCCATCAAACTGGAGACAGGAGTGGTCAAAAAGCTGTACACCTTGGATGGGAAGCAGGTAGGAGGTTTTACAGATGTTGTGTCTTTTTCTTCCTCTTGTCATGCGGCTTTTGCTGACTCAGAGCAATTCTTGAAGCCTAAAATTAAGCTGAGATGATTGCTGCCATCTGTTCCCTTAGAAGTATGGCTTCTCATGCCAGTGGTTAGGTTACTAAATTTTCCCTGATATTAATACCAAGTGAAGAATGTAGCCGTGGGTCTGGGTGGAACAGATGCTCGCCCTGCACGCCGGCGTGCGGTGCGTGTCTTCTGGGCTAGGTGAAGAAATAACAGGGGGACTTGGGCTCCTGGCCACCAGCTGATCTGGCTCTGGGCTCGCTGGAAGAACTCTCCAGCTTTGGCTCCACTCAGTGAAAACATGTTGCTTGACTTTCCTTGCTCTCTGGTGAAGGCTTGCTAAGATAAAGTGATTGATCCAAGCAGCTCTTCTATGCAGCTCCAGAGTGAGCAGGGAAAGTGTGGAACTGTGGAGCATTTCCTTGGCTAAATGTAATGGTAACGTGCAGAAAGAGTCAGAAATATTTAGCAGGTCATCAAAATGTGCTTCATGTCTACATGTTGCTGGAACTGAGGGAAACATCTGTCTCTTGTTAGCAGCTACACAGCAACGAGCCATTTCATATTGCTGTATCTATGAAAAGCCTTAAAGGAATGTGGGGGATCATTTTTAGAGCTGGGAACAGCTAGATTCTTCAAGGGCAATTTGAGCTTGATTTAACATTTTGTTTATTGTAATTGAGGAATGATCTTATTTTTGTCACTCCTTTTCCTGCTCTAGATTCTGGAGTCAGGCAGCACACCTCCTGTGTGGGTTTGGGTGCTGGCTAGTCTAGGGATTGATGGTTTTGCATTAAATTAACTCTGTCCTGACCCTGGAGAAAATGATTCAAGGACTGGCTCTGTCCAAGGAAATACAGATTTTACAAATAAAAATGTTCATCCCAAATACAGGTTCCTACAATGTCATGTGCAATCCAGGAGTGTAGTGTAGTGCCTGGGAGCTGACAGCAGCATGTCACTCTGATCTGATAGTCTGGTGTCCCTGCCCATGGCAAGGGGCTGGAACTAAGTGATCTGTAAGGTCCCTTCCCACCCAAACTATGCTCTGATTCTTGCTTTGTCCCATCCTGTGTCCTGCACATTAGCTACTGTCTGGTTCCAGCTTCAGATACACAAAAAATCCCATCTGTCTGCCAAAGTTTTCCTTTCCACCTGTCTCAACACAGCATTTTTGCTTCCTCAGATGCACAGTTTGAACATGAGAGGGTGGCTGTGTCCATAGGCACAGTAACCTGCTGGAAATGAGCAGTGATACCAGGAGAGATGCACTGGAAACCTTGGGAGAGACCAGGGAAAGAGGAAGGAGATTCTCAAATGACCTGTGCTCCCTGAGTGATCACATCTGGGCACAGGACCGTGCCCTTTGGGTGCCAGCAGCTTTGCAGAGGGTTCCATAGCTGAATCTGGCCTGAGAGCAGCTCCCTGCTCATGCTGGCACAGGGTCCTGCTGTTCTCCCAGCTGGGAAGGAGGATCTTAGTCTGCCCCTGTGAGTGGCCTCAGTTCTTCGAGAGCTGCTGGCAGCTTGGGGGTGAGATGTTGCTTTGGATGGTGCAGAAATAGGGATGCTCCAGGAGCTTCCATCAGAATGTTCACTTCTCCCCCTTTTAGCTGTTTACAGCAGCAAGTGGTGATTCCCTTCCACCTCTGGCTGGAGAGCAAGCCAGGATCAGCCCTGATACAACACTTAACTTGTTTCTCTGACTTTATAATTCACCATTTTATGAAATGAGATATTTGATTGCATGTTGGAGGTGCCACAGGGAGTTTCACTGTGTGCATACTGAAAGCAGTGAGACTGTGATTTGGTAATAATGGGATATTTGATGGGATGTTTGATGTTTGTTTGCAGCACCAATTGCTACTGAAGCTTCCTGAGGAGCAAACCTGGTTCACCAAGGCTTTGTTTTTAGTGGATGGTTTCCTTCAATGCTTGTTCTTTATTATAGATGTGTTTTCTTAGTGTGGAAGTCAGAGCTAGAAGCTTATGCTGGCTCTTAGGGTTTCCATGACATAGTGCTCCATAAAATCTGACCTCCTGACATGACATTAGGGGGTTTTGCATGTCTGATGCTGACATTAGAAAGAGATTACTGCATGCGTGGTTCTGACAAACAGCGCTTTATTTTCAGGAGGAAATATTCATGCAAAAATGCAAGCTGCTCAAAGCTGAAATACTGACAAGAATCTTGACAGTCTGTCTCTTTGAGTGCCATCAGAGGCACGCTGCTCCCTCTGTTGTGAAATGATAAAATTTACAAAAGGAACATACAAAGGGAAATCATCCTTCCTCAGTCCACGAGCTGGAACTTAATGAGGGGAGATGATTATTTTATTTATAGGCATTTCCATCGTGCTCATCAGTGCAGTAATCAAGATGCTTTAGAAGTACAGACAGTGGTGGCAGTGACAGGGTGGTGTGTGAATAATTACATTTCTGTGCACTGCAGACCTGCTGCAGTTGGAGTGTGAAAGCAGCTAATTGAGAGCTGGTGGGCTGTGTATGAATAAATGGAGCACTTGAAACAACATGGGGTTAGGTTATTTTAATGAAATTGTGTCTTTTTATGTCTTGGGTTGGCTGGAGAAATATGGCCCTTGAAGCTGCTAAATTAGCATCTTGTGTTTAAGTAGTTTATTTAACTTGAATATATTTCTAATGTCAGTAGTCAAGCTCCTTTCCTCCCTGGAGCAAAGCAGTACCTCTTGATGCACATCCCTGAGCTCAAAAGGTTTTACAAATACTTGACCAAAAATGAGTCATGACAGGGGATCACAACAGAGATTTAACTTTGGAACTTCCATGGCTGTCCAGGAAATGGTGTGGGTCAAAGAATTCCATGCATTTAACAGATGCTATAATGGGCCAAATTCAGTCCTTGGTTCCGTGACTACAACTGCTGTAGTGTTGAGATGTGCAATGCAGACAATTAAAATACACACATTCAGGGTTTAATTTGGTCAGGCCTGTGGATCATGCTGGAAAACAGTTATTTTGGTCGATTCTTCCTCCTTTTTTAAACTCTTAGCTCCACCCAATGTCCCAAATAAGTCTGGGTTCCTGGGAGCACTGGCCACTTCAGACACACGATGACAGCTCCTGCCTCGCGTCGTTAACAGACCAAATTAGAGAGCAGAATTGGAGAGCGTGGATGGAGTGGCACTGGGATAGTTTGAATGCAGTAGGCTGAGCTAGACTTTGCAAAGGTTGTGTAGATTCCCTGTTCTGCTCCTGCCTGAGCTCCTTCCTCATCGTGGGGCACGATGGGTTGGTGTTCTCTGGGGCAGAGGGGGCTGCCTGCTTTGCAGGTGAGCTCTGCCTGCATTCCTTCCTGCTTCCCAGTGACCTGTGCAAGCTGATGTCTTTTGTGCACCCTGAACTTCTCTTTTCCTGCCCTGTATTTTATTCCAAGGTCTATGAGTTGTTCAGTCAAGTGCCTGAAGAGATGCAGTGACAAATAATCCCTTTTTTTTTTCGGTCATTGTCTGAGTTTGGTGATACTCTGAAACTCATCAGGCATGTCCAGTTGTACTTTAGCATTAAGATACTCTTTTGTGGTGTAGAATTTTTTCTTTTTCTCCAGCTGTTTTATTGCCATGCCTTCATTAACTGAACACCCCACTGTGTGACCCAACAATTATCATCACCAAAAAATAAGCAGAATAGGTGCTGTTCAGAGCAAGGAGAGCTTGTATGCCAGCTGCACATAAACAGAGATATTCTGGTCCACAGGCAGAGAACAGATTGTGGTTTTAGCCATGATAACATGCAGTGATCTCCTCTGGCCTTTGAAATCTTCAAACTTGGGGAGAAGTCACCCACGCTCTGCTCATTGGCTGTTCCCTTGCCCAGACCCAGTGCTGCTGCTCCATCTGAGTGTTAGCTGTCTCGTCAGATGAAATTACATCCATTTCCATATGTCAGGGCACTTGTGACTGCACTCCCAATAGAATTTCCAGTCTTATTAAAAGGGTCTCCTCTAGCAGTCTGAGCTTTGATAAGGATATCAAGTGGCAGGTGATGAGGGGAGTTCATTCTGTGTTTGCAAAGTGATGCCAGCCCACCTCTCCTGGCCAGGCAAGAAGTTGCCATTTCATTTTAGATTTCCTCCACTGAGGAAGGGCAGCAGCCACAGAGACAGAAGCAGATGACAAAGCTTACAGCAAGTTTAAGGTTGGGACTTCGTAATCAAAGTCAGTAAATTAGTTGATAAAGGGTTTTCTAAATACTGCATCTCCTACATACTAAGGCATCCCTACAAGTTGCACTGGGGAAACCAAACTTTGGAGTTGCTGCACTGATTTTAAGCTGATATTTTGAAAAAAAAGTAGTAAAAAATGAATCACTCAAGTGTTGATAACAGCAGTTGAACCAAATTCTTCCAGGATAATGGCGATCTATTGATTGTGTTAATGAAATTGTATCAACGAGACATGGAACAAGGTTTGTACTGAAATAGAAAAAGGCCTCCAACAGCTGCAATCTGTAATTGGTGCTCAGGAGGGAGGTGACACCTGTGTGACTGTACCCTGCCCTGCTGGGAGATCACAGGGAGCCTATTCCCCCAGAGCCATGGCAGGAGTTAACTCACACCCTGAGGCACCAGGTTCAGGGTTACACAGGGAGCAAATTGCTTTGTGTTATCGAACACGTTGAGGAGAAGGATGTCAGAACAACTCCTCCTTCTAAGTTTTGGCTGCCCTTGAGGATGCTGGAGCACTGCACTGGAGTGACCCCAGAAGATGCAGTTCCATGCACTGGTGTACAGCTGGAGGAGGAAATCGGAGGGCAGAGCAGGAGAGGGTGCAGTGTGTGCTGTATCCCACCTTCTGCTAAAGCTCCTGCAGCAGCCAGTGCCAAGGGCAGCCCCACCTTCCCTCCCTGCTGCACAAAGCTGGAACAACAATCCCAGATCTGCTTTGCATCTGTTCCTCGGCCC